ATATTTTTTACTACCAGTTCTGTGGGTGTGGCTTGGTGGGCATGGCAGAGGAAGGATACTACAAAATCTCCATTCCCACCCCACTCCAGGGAAAGGTTACTGCAAAATCCCCATTTCCTCCCGATCAGCTGGGACTCGGGAGGCAGAGAATAGATGCGGGTGGAGCCAGTTGGAGGTGGTATTTACTGGTTCTCCAAACCACTCAAAATTTCCGCTATCGGTTCTCCAGAACTGGTCAGAACCTGTTGAATACCACCTCTGATGATACTCTTCCTTCCTTCTCTGCTCTCAAGAGCGTTAACTTCGCTCATTTTAAGTCAATTTGGGTAGCATAATGAATGAACGAACGAATGAGGGAAGGGAGCAAAGAACGAAAGGGAGTGAGGGAATGAAGGAAGAGGGAGGAAGAGAGGGAAGGGAGAGAGGGAGGGAACGAAGGAAGGAAGGGAAAGGAGGGAGGAAGGAACAAAGGAAATTAATGTGGGCATCTGTGCTACAAATAGGTATTCTGAATACAGGGGTGGGCAAACAGGAATGAATCAGCAATTGAAAGTCTTATAGGATTTCTGATGAGATCTTCTGTTTGGATTTAATTATTAGATACTAAGCAGATTGCCAAGAATGGAGAGGTGGACATTCACACCCTCATCCTGACTTAACACTAATTATATACAGGAAATCTTCACTTGGCTCTTGAGAATTTCTCTTAAAATTATCTTCCTCTTTAAAAAAAAATGAAAGCAAATTCTCTTTCATCAAATTGGATCTGAACTGTTTTTGTTTTTTAAAAAAAAAATTCTGAGAGGAGAAAAGATATCAGGAGATCTCTTTGATATAGTGGTAGCACTGTTTTCACCAGTTCCAAATCTAGAGTGAAAATGAGTGAGATCTGGGCAAAAAAGAAAAGGGTTTGTGCAAACTGGGAGTTTTGGGGGAGAATGGGTGTAGATATTTTGACATACCCGGTCCTTAATTGGCAACAATACTTGGCAATGGGGCATACACAGGGGTGAAATGCTCTGAAGTCTGCTACTGGTTTCCTTCACGTGTGCATTTGCGCGCATGTGCGCTAAATGCGTGCTTTACGTGTATCACAGGCCCTACTGCGCAGTGCTGAAAAAGGATTAAGAAGCCTTTTCTGAGTCTTCACAGGTAAGGGGGGGGGGAAACAGCTGTGCCGCATGATTTAGATTCCCTGCTTTCTAGTGAATATAAATCGCACAGCATAGCTGATTGTCACACAGCTGATCGTTGGAAATACCGGTTCGCCGGAACCAGCAGCATTTTTTTACTACCGGTACGGACAAACCGGCCCGAACCGGTAGCATTTCACCCCTGGGCATACATCATCCTGATACCCCTATCATTGTTCCTATCAACCATCTCCTCCCACTTATGACTGTATGGTTGCAACTTTGTTGCTTGTATCCTTATGATTTATATTGATTGTTTCCTAGTATGATTTGATTGCTTACTTGTTCCCTATGACTATCATTAAGTGTTGTACTTTATGATTCTTGAGGAATGTATCTTTTCTTTTATGTACACTGAGAGCATATGCACCAAAGACAAATTCCTTGTGTGTCCAGTCACACTTGGCCAATAAAGAATTCCATTCCATTCTAATATTCTATTCTATTCTATTCTTCCATTCTATTCTGTTCTGTTTTGATGAATGACAAATGAAGAAAACAATCAAATCCTTTAAGAAGAGCTGTAATGTTTTGACGATCTTAGTTACTTTATCTTCAAAAAGAACTGAACTATATCTCCATCAGTTCTGGAAAACTGCAGCCATGTACTTTACCTTTAGGTACCCAAGTAGCTGATGATTAAAAAAAAATCAAGCAATCTCTGACTTTCCCCATGAAATTGGAAATGCTTTTTGGTTAGTCCTTACAACTTAGTGAAACTAAACCAATTGCTTATGAGCCGTGGTGGCGCAGTGGTTAGAGTGCAGTACTGCAGGCTATTTCTGCTGCCTGGTGGCTGCCTGCAATTTGGCAGTTCAAATCTTACCAGGCTCAAGGTTGCCTCAGCCTTCCATCCTTCCAAAGTCGGTAAAATGAGGACCCAATTAGTTGGGGGCAAGAGGTTGACTCTGTAAAACCGCTTAGAGAGGGCTGTAAAGCCCATTCCCAGTAGTTATATACCAACCAACCAACTAACCAGAGATAATGACTTAAAGGAAACCCTCATTTGCAAATCCAGGAAAAAGGATAGAGTAATAAGGATGAATCGAGTGTGAACTGGGCTCGATAAATCACACCAATTTACTGGCGACTCCAGTAAATTCGCCAAATAAATCTTTACGGTGTGTTTTCACTGGGCGTGGAAAAACCAATCCATTTCACTTTCACCCAGGTTCTGCTTTTCCTTCCACTTTAAAATAATTCTATCCTGCTAATGCGGCAATTTGAGATTATTATTTTTTTAAAGGGTATATAAAAAGTCATGCATGACTTTGTACTCTTGTTTCAATACATGCAAATATATAATTGGCAAATATACATATGCAGATATGTATGCAAGATATTCATGTTATCATATTTCTATTTATCTATGTGGCTTCTGATGTCTGCATTGCAATAGTGTTTTTTTTTTTCTTTTTAAATTTTGATTTCCACTCTGGCTTTCATTCAGGAGTTCAAGGAGAGGTAGATAGTAAGTACTCTCTCTGCCGATTTTCCCTGCCACATCAGGGACGTGAAGTGAGGTCAAGATTGGGAGGGACTGGTTCCAGTCCTATAGTTAGAATAGATAAGAACTTGTAGTAGAGAATTAGAATGCAAAATTACAAATGTTTCAAAATATCGTTTCAATTCTGCGTATAGGTAGTTCTCCACTTATAAGCATTTGTTTAGTGAACATTCGAAGTTACAACTGCACTGAAAAAAGTGACATATGACCATTTTCACACTTATGACCATTGCAGCATCCCCATGGTCACATGATCAAAATTTGGACGCTTGGCAATTGGCATGTATTTATGATGGCTGCAGTGTCCTGGGTTCATGTGATCACTTTCTGCGACCTTCTGACTACCAAAGTCAATGGAAAATTCACTTAACAACCATGCTACTAACTTAAAACAACTGCAATGATTCACTAAATTGGGGCAAGAAAAGTCATAAAATGGTGCAAAACTCACTTAATGATTGTCTTGCTTAACAATAGAAATTTCAACTCATGTGGTCATAAGTCAAGGACTACTAGTATTTGCCCAGGAAGTTTGAATTAGGTAGCTTAGAATTAATACAGAAACACAAAAAAATATACTTCCACACATCCCTCTTTTTAACAGCTGCGGACTGCAGTGATTTTGTCACAAATATTTTTCATGGTTACTAGAAAATAAACAAGGATCCTAAACTTCATGCTATGCTGTTTTTCAAAAACATAACCTTGTGCACAATAATATGCAGTGAGGAAAAAAAGCATTGTTAACTAAAGGAGAGAAACAAACAAATCAGACAAGCTTATATATTAGTAGTGAAAATATCCTTGTTTGTGATCTGGGATATACACATTTACTTTTGAAGGCAGATATATAGATATATAAAATTTCAAAATTAATATAAAAACTGCTGTGTGTTTTAAGAGTACTAAAATGCAGAAATTAATTAACATATGCATTAGAAATAAATTAAATGCATCGATAAAAGCTTCTTTCCATATACAAATATCCTTTGGCTTTTTAAAAACTATACTGATGCCAACTGTACAAGCATTTATTCCTAAACAAAAAAATGTACAAAAGTCTTATTTCATTATTTATATACATTTTACATAGACGAGGAGGCGGTAGGATTAATCACAAATGAATTGGCTGTTCGTTAAAACAGTGTTCAACCTTTTGAACCTGCAACTCGCCTCTCTAGAAATTAAAAGCTGAAAAACCCCATTTGCACTCCTACAGTTTTGCCTGAATGCAAGAAAATTGCCCCAGAGTTTTTGGCAGAGCGTGGAAGGCACTTTCCATCTCCTGTTAAGATGCAGAAGATGCAAGGGGTAGATTTGAACCCAGATCCTAACCTTTCCAAATGATCTAGGGCAGGGGCCTCCAAACCTGGCAACTTTAAGACTTGTGGACTTCAACCCCCCGAGTTCCTCAGCCAGAAATGAAGTCAACAAGTCTTAAAAGTTGCCAAGTTTGAAGGCCCAAGATCTACGTTCTGCATAGTTATGCATGTACCGTCATTGAGATGTGCGTGCATGTGTAAATGGCAAGATGGCTGTTAGGACAAGTTTGAAGCCCCACCCCTTTTAATTGTGTTTTACATGCATGATGAGTGTAAAGAAGAGGACAAGTGTTGGGAAATTCCCCTTTAGCCTGGAAGGAAGAGTCAAGTGAGGGCTTAGCTTGGAATCTTTGCACAGCCACAAGCGTGCAAGTTTGACCTCCCCCAAAATCTTTGAAGCTTTATCTGGTCATTCCTGGGAATGCAAGCAGTCTTGGGAGATTCTTGTAATATGTGTGGCAAACCATAAAGCGACTGGTTTGGCTTTTCACGACAAGTGATGGCTGCTTGCTTCTAATAGCTACGCTTCTATTGTGGCTGCCATCTTGACTGTCCTCCTTTCCGCAACACATATGGATTCTGTATATTGGCACAACTGCCTCTAACTAACAGGGGTGACTGCATTTTAACACTGAAATAGATTCTGAGAGCAAAGCTGAGTTCATACATCTTGCTAAACCATGGCTTAACCATAGTTCATTAAATACATCACAATTCACCTAGCTTATATAGCTTCACAAACTCCAGTGGCTGAGTTCAGACAACATGTGAAAATCAACCCAATAAATCAAGGAATGGCATTTCAACTTTGATGATCCGGGTCCTAATTAAGAACATATCAGTTCCCTTCCCAGATGGGTCATGCATTAAACATATTTGTTATATTTTCTTTAATCCTTGACTTCAGTCTGTAGAGATCATCACCCGGATAGGCTGCAATTTTATACCCATTACCCTGGAAGTTATTCCTACTGGGCCTTGAGTGGACAATTGTTTTATTTATATATATATCACATTTACAAACCATCAGTCTCCCTCACAGAGTGACTATTATATCAGGTTCTCTATGGCAGGGTAATAAAAAGTCAAAATGGCAGCTTCAATCCTATGGCCATGGCTGCCATCTTGATTCCCTGCCCATAATATCCTGAAAATGTGTAAGCGTGCTACACAATTCCCATTGTGAAATGGTTATTACAATTATAGGCTACCATAATTGACTGGCAAACTTAAATTTGAAACTCTACCCCACCTTTATCACTTCTTTCTGGTGTAAAGTACCAAGATCAAGAGATCAAGATTTTATAACAAACAGAGGTGTAAGGTAACCCAATCTTTTTACTAAATAAGCACCAGAAACGTATTTCTGCTTTCAGATAAAAAGTTCCTGTTATTTTAAGAATGAAAGCCTTTGCTTTTTTGTGAGGGGTAGAGCAAAACACGACTGGCGTGTTATGCCAGGAAAACCAACGAATTAAGATTTATTTTTTTTAAAAAAAAGACTATTTGAATCTTTGAAATATGGGAAGTAGGATCTTACTCGCATATGGTATATTTCGAGTCTTCTTATAACCTAAAGTAGAAAGCTTAGCTTTAAAAGCACAATACGTATATTAAAATCTCCTTCACCATTACATTCTGGAAGAATGGATTGGGGAAAACCAGCAGCTTGGGTGAACAGTCTTCAAACATAGCATAAAACAACATATTGTGTTTTCCTGCTAATCTTCAGTTCCTGAGGGAACTCTTTCCAGTTTTCATTTTCTTATCTTCCCCACCACCACTGAGACCTCCCCGTGTTATTTGCCCCTGTGGTGAGCTTTCTGAACTTCCTTCCCTATCCTCACAGTAGGAAAATTACCGTTGGGGAAACTTATTCCATGTTCCTTCTCAGCTCTTGCTTACTCATCCGTTCGTAAAACTGGACAACAATATGCTTTGGTAAATGGAAAGAGGAGAGGTTTATGAAGCAACAAAAGTCGCTGTGGAAAGTAGGAAGGTTATCTGCAGGCACAGGATTCCACTGTCATATTTGGATACACTTTGAGGACCACGTTTTTGTTTTCGTCGAAGAATAAAATGCTGAGAGATGTCATCTTGTCTGGAACACAGCAAGGCTCCGGGATGCCAGAGACTACCCCTACGGCCCTCACGATGCTCTGAATGGTCGCGTGGTTGGAGGGCTTCAGGGCCTGTAGAAAAAAAGGATAAATAAGAAAACTCAATACATGACTGTGACTTGGTTGCTTACGATTTATATTGATATTGATTGATTCCTAGTATGATTTGATTGCTTATTTGTACCCTATGACTATCATTAAGTATTGTATTTTATGATTCTTGACGAATATATTTTATTTTTTCTTATGTACACTGAGAGTATATGCACCAAGACAAATTCCTTGTGTGCCCAATCACACTTGGCCAATAAATAATTTATTCTATTCTATTCTATTCTATTCTATTCTATTCTATTCTATTCTATTCTATTCTATTCTATTTTCCCCAAAGAATTTTCTCTCCTGAGATTTCATTAACGAATTGAGAAGCCAGAATTTGCAGATTATGGAAGAAACAATGAAAACAGGATACTTCCAGATTTTATTTTATTTATTTTATTTTATTTTATTTCGAATTTATATACCGCACCTTCTCCCAAGGGACTCAGGGCGGTGTACAGCCAGATAAAAACATACAATACAAACATTAAAAACAATTAAAAGAATATATATTAATTTGGCCCCAGTTTAAAATGACAAACCAATTAAAAATTTAAAAATATGTTAAGCCAGCCCGGCTTGATGAAAAAAGAAAGTTTTAAGGGCATGGCGGAAGGCACTGAGGTCTTGGATTCTCCTTATCTCAGTGGGCAGCTGATTCCATAGGGTAGGTGCCCCCACAGAGAAGGCCCTCCCCCGGGGGTCACCAGCCTACATTGATTGGCTGATGGCACCCCGAGGAGGCCCTCTCTGCGGGAGCACATAGGTCAATGGGAGGTTGTCAGTAGCAGCAGGCGGTCTTGAAGATAACTAGGTCCTATGCCATGGAGCACTTTAAAGGTGGTAACCAACCCCTTGAAGCGCACCCGGAAGACCAGATTTACGGAACAGAACAAAATAACAGAGTTGGAAGGGACCTTGGAGGTCTTCTAGTCCAATCCCCTGCTCAGGCAGGAAACCCTACATCACTTCAGACAAATGGTTATCCAATCTCTTCTTAAAAACTTGCATTGTTGGAGGATTCACAACTTCAGGAGCCTGAGTGGCGTAGGAGGCTAATGCCTCCTACTAAGGCAGCATTTAACATCCAGCTGCCTGCCATTACTGCGAGTTCAATTCTCACCAGGCTCAAGGTCGACTCAGCCTTCCATCCTTTCTAAGGTGGGTAAAATGAGGACCCGGTTTGTGGGGGCAATAAGCTGACTTTGTATAAAATATACAAAAGTATGAAGGCTATTGCTTAATGCATTGTAAGCCGCCCTGAGTCTCCGGAGAAGGGTGGCATATAAAAATAAATAAATAAATAAATAAATAAATAAATAAATAAATAAATAAATAAATAAATAAATAAAGTCAATTTCACTGATTAATTGTTCTAACTACTTAATTAACCTGTCTTTATCCCAACAGCATCATGTTAATTCTTCAAGAATTTCTCAGAAAATCTTCTTCTTTTAAAAAGACATTTTGAAAGCAAATTGTCTTTTATTATATTGAAAGAAGCCTACTATGGCGGAAAAATGATTAGGAAATTCTCTGCCCGGAGCTGTTTTTGCTGTTATTCAAAAAGTCACAATAACGTGACATGCCATTCGGCCTCCTAAAAAACAAACTTCGTATAGATTTTTAAAACAGCAATTTTTTTGGTTGCCTCTGCTTTCCGTGAATCACATCTCACTGAGCAAGATTTTGTATAAATTGTCAGTATAAATGCAGATGACTAATACAGTCGGAACAGATGGGATGAAAAAAAATGGATTACTATTATTTGCAAGCTTGAACTAATGTGCTTATTAACAAAATAGTTTATTTAATACAAACATGTTGCTGAAAGGATAGGTTGTTGTAATAAAACAAATAACAGAACGGAATCTAATAAAATGAAATGTAGCAAATTACTGAATTAAGGAAGAATTTGAAATTCCTGAAGAATTTTCAAACATTTGAAATCTTGTCAGGCTCAAAGAATCAGGATTAGAGATAGACCTTGATTTACAACAGTTTAGTGACTGTTCGAAGTTACAACCACCCTGAAAAAATGAACTTAAGACCAAGTTCAAACTTACAATTGTTACAGCATCCTCGTGATCATGTGATCAAAATTCAGACGCTTGACAACTGACTCATATTTATAAATGCTGTAGTGTCCCGGGAAAAACCACCATAAATGTAATTTGGGGGAAAAGTGCAAAAAAAAGGAGAAACATCAGCAGAAAAATGGCTTTGGGAAATGTGGCAATCAGCTGCATGAGTGAACTTTCATGACAGTACTGGTTATGTTTTGGTTTGTCTGATTTAATTTAGTCATTATGCAATATTCTCAATGACCGAGTTGTTAAAAATAATTGTTAGCTGCCTCGAAGGCTTTCTGAAAGGTCATAAAATGGTGGAGGAAAAATAAAAGAAATGTCAGTAAATATTCAGACCGACATCCTGTTGTCACAAGGCCATGGAAGCTGGGGAAAATGCTTTCCAAGGCAACTGTCCATCTAGCCCTGAGCAAACACTGATCCTAAAGTAAAGGTGGATATTCAAAATGGAAATCTTGTCTTCCCCACCATTTAAACTCAGCGGTCTCCTACTACCGTCTGGTATAGGAGTGTCTAACTGGATTTCTTGGAGGGCCGGATCAGCATTTTTTAAAAAAAAGTTGATTTATATGCCGCCCTTCTCCGGAGACTCGGGGTCTGAGTCAACCTTGAGCCTGGTGAGATTCGAACTTACTAATTGCAGACAGCTGGAGTTAAATTACAATGCATTAGTCTGCTGAGCTATCCAGTTGTTCTCTGCTGGCCGGTCATGGGGGGAAGAGATGGGACAGACGCCACAGTTGGAGTGTTAAAAGAGAGGATTTTTTTTGTATTGCACCCAGTGGTAAACAAAAACAAAACAAAACAAATAAAATAAAACAACCCCAGGAGTGGGCTGCTGAGGGTTCGGGAGAACCTCTAGCTAAGATTCTGTGCTGTTTGGAGAACCCCCAAATCCCACTCCTGGCTGGCCCCGACCACCCCGCCCTTCCCAGGAGTCCCCACACAGCCTGTTTTGGATGCAGGTAAGTGCAGGGTGCATGTGGAAGCTTGTGGAGAGTGAAAAATGGGCCCACTGGAAGCTCAGGAAGGCCAAAAATGGGCCCGGAGTCTGGGGAGGTTGTTTTTGCCTTCCTGGAGGCTTGAGGAAAGTCTCCGGAGCCCAGGGAGGGCAAAAACGACCCCCCCCCTCACCATGGTGCAGGAGGGTGACTAGGCCACGCCCACCATGGCCACGTCCACCCAGCAACTGGGCAGAGAACCCCCTGCTAAAAGTTTTGAAGCCCAATCCTGCAAACCCCCTTTTTTTTCTTTAAAATACTATTACCAAAAGGAGTCGGAAGTCAACACCTTTTCTTTCTTTTTCCCTTCTTCACAACCTCAATTGTAGTTGTGAGTCAAGGACTATCGGTACACATAAACACTCAAGTCTAGTTTGATTCCTAGGTGCTCAATAAGGATTGTTCTATAAGCTTACTTTTTTTTTCATAACAAAGGTCATTGCCTATTTTAATTTCGGGGCTTTCTTCCTGCAGCTGGAAACACAAGGCATTTAATTTAGAAGATTTTTTCACGATCTGAAACTCCCTTCTTGCAAAAGCTTCATTTGTGAATTATCACCAAGGGTTTTAAACTCAAGGCCCGTGGGGGTGCTCAGATCCGGCCCGTGGAGCGGGCCTGGAAATAGCAAAGGACCGGCCTGCAGTGCCTCTGCTAGCAAAAACTGGCTGGCAGGATGCTGCAGGAGGCGGTCCAGGCCCCTGTGCCCTGTTTTGGCCAGAAGGGTGCCACAGGAGCCCGTTCAGGCTGAAAACTCTACAGTGTCACTCAACTTCGTGCTGCTCTTTGTGCCACTCAGCTTCCAAACACTGCCTCTCGCATCCGCTGCGATTCGGAAGCCGTTCTTCAGAACGTGCAGGAGTGCAAACACAGCCTGTCAACAACTCATTAAGATACCTGCCTGCATTGCAGAGGCTCTCTTTCAAACGGTATCTGAAGCATTGCATGGATGTTTTATGCATGGAGCTTAATATTCATTAACATTCACTCGCTACACTGAAATGTTAGCAAGCCTGCAGTGAAATTGAATATATAGTTTGGCGACTGTACATCAGGGATGTCAAACTCGATTTCATTGAGGGCCGCATCAGGGTTGTGTTTGACCTTGGGAGGCTGGGGTGGGCGTGGCCAGCTTAGCATGGCCTGGTGCGCCAGTAGCGCCCTTTCCTAGACAGGGATGCCCTCCGTACGGTCACTCATGCTCTCATTATTTCTCGGCTGGATTACTGCAATGCCCTCTACATGGGGCTGCCCTTGGGGTGCACCCGGAGGCTCCAACTGGTTCAGAATGCGGCTGCGCAGGTAGTTACAGGTGCTTTCTGTTTCTCCCATATAACACCATTGTTGCACAAGCTGCACTGGTTGCCGATGGTCCTCCGGATCCGCTTCAAGGTGCCGGTGCTCACCTATAAAGCCCTTCATGGCATGGGCCCAGGGTACTTGCAGGACTACCCCCTACCGGCCTCCCACCGCCCAGTGCGCTCACATAGGACTGCCCTCCTCCAGGTCCCCTCGGCCAGACAGTGTAGGCTGGCGGCCCCCAGGATGAGGGCGTTCTCTGTGGTCGCACTGACCCTCTGGAATGGTTTACCCACTGGGCTCCGGACGGCCCCCGACCTCTGCACCTTCCGTGCCGACCTAAAGACATGGCTCTTTCAGCAAATTCCCTGATCTGCCGTGCATTTTAATTTGGGGGATTTGGGGTTTTTAAATTGGATTTTAACATTTTAATTCTATTTATTGTTGGGTTGTTTTTATTCTGTGAGCCGCCCCGAGTCCCTCGGCATATAAATATGACAATAAATAAATAAAATAAATAAAATAAACATCACTCGTGTTGGGGGCGCCTGTGGTGGCCTGAGCACTGTGCCAGCAGAAACAGGCTCCTGAGCTCCGTTTTCAGCTGTGACGGCCTCCTGCAACCAACAAAAACAAAGCTCTGTTTTGGCTGGCAGAGGCACCGCGGGCCTGTCCTTTGCTGTTTCCAGGGCAGCCCCGCGGGCTAGATCTAAGCACCCCGCGAGCCAGATACGGCCCCCGGGCCTTGAGTTTGACACCCCTGCTATACATTCTCGGTGTACCCTTGCATGGAAGTGCCTGGTTGAATATGTGGAGCTGGAGAAGGAAAGGAACATATAAAGCACTGACATAATCCAAACGTTAACCACCATGGCAAATACCAATACAACGAAACTGCCTAAACAACCTCCAAATCGATGGTGGGATTCAAAATTTTTTACTACCAGTTCTGTGGACTTGGTGGCTTGGTGGATGTGGCCTGGTGGGCGTGGCAGGAGAAAGATACGGTAAAATCTCCATTCCCACCCCACTCCAGGGAAAGATTACAGCAAAATCCCCATTTCCTCCCAATCAGCTGGGACTCGGGAGGCAGAGAATAGATGGGGGCGGGGCCAGTCAGAGGTGGTATTTACTTGTTCTCCAAACTACTCAAAATTTCCGCTAACGGTTCTCCAGAACTGGTCAGAATCTGCTGAATACCACCTCTGCTCCAAATGTTCCCACCAAACCGTGATTTTTTTGAATGTGACAAAGGAGAAAAATGACAAATTAGGGTGGGCCATCAAGGCAGTTCATTACTTTAATGCAATTTGAATGGCATCTAGTGTACTCTTCTTCAGATGACATCATCTTTTGATTGCCTTTACTTAGGAACACTCCCCAAAGGTTACACGTGCTCCAAAATTAGTTGTGAATTCCTGGTGTATAACTGTCTACGCAAAGCAGTTGCTTGATTATGTATTTTAAATGGTTGGCACGATGCTCATATTATGCTGATGTCTTAAATGCCCTTTCAGACAGATCAGTTCCTATAGGAATGTATGTACGTAGTTTGAATACATCTGAGAATCTCATCAGTGTTAAATGAATGCTAGTGTGATTTGAATACATTTTAATTTGATTTTAAAATATTTTTGAAAAGCACTTGTAAACTCTGCTTAATTTTTGGCCTTATATGAAAATAATGACCCAGACGTGCAGTGCCCAAAAAGAGCCGTGGTGGTGCAGTGGTTAAAATGCAGTACTGCATGCTACTTCTGCTGACTGCTGGCTGCCTTGCAATTTGGCAGTTCGAATCTCATCAGGCTCAAGGTTGATTCAGCCTTCCATCCTTCCGAGGTGGGTAAAATGAGGAGCCAGATTGTTGGGGGGCAAGAGGCTGACTCTGTAAAACTGCTTAGAGAGGGCCTATAAATCACTATGAAGCGGTATATAGGTCTAAGTGCTATTGCTATTTTAGGAGTATTCAATGGCGGCTCAAGTGGCTAAGACACTGAGCTTGTCGATCAGAAAGGTTGACAGTTCGGCGATTTGAATCCCTAGTACAGGTCTCCCATGTGAGCAGGGGGTTGGACTAGATGATCTCCAAGGTCCCTTCCAACTCTGTTACTGTCACTGCTTCTGACTACCGTGTTTTCCCGAAAATAAGACCCTGTCTTATATTTTTTTGAACCCTGAAATAAGCGCTTGGCCTTATTGCCATGCACTCAAAAGCCCGATTGGGCTTATTATCAGGCGATGTCTTATTTTGGGGGAAACAGGGTATATCCATTAATACCATCTCAATATCAACCTGGTGTTGGTTGCTAGATGCATCTGAGATCATCTTAATACAGGTAGTCCTCGACTTACGACCACAATTGAGACCAAAATTTCCACTGCTAAGCAAAACAGTTGTTAAATGCTCCATTTTATGACCTTTCTTGCCACGTTTGTTTAGTGAATCCCTGCAGTTGTTAATTTAATAACATGGTTGTTAAGTGAATCTGGCTTCCCCATTGACTTTGCTTGTCAGAAGGTCGCAAAAAGGGATCGCATGACTCCCGGGATGCTGCAACCAATGTAAACATATATGAACCAGTTGCCAAGCATCCAAATTTTGATTGCAAAGGTTGTAAGTGTGAAAAACGGCCACGAGTCACTTTTTCCCAAATGGTTGTAAATAAATGGTTGTAAGTTGAAAACTACCATCTGCGTTTTCTTTAAATAGCTTCCTTGTCCCATGCTAACCCTGCACGCTATCCGATGGGATTGATTTTATGACTTATGAAATATTTCCTTTGTTTGCTTTCTAATTGGGAGAATTATTAATGAGTTTCAAGAAAATTCTCTGGACTTTTCATCAGCTGTTCTGACCTAGGCTTCCCCAAAAAGCAGAATCCTGGTCCCTACAAAACCCCTTTTATTAAACAAACAGTGAATTCCTCTCATTCACCTTCAGGGAGAATTTACAGTCACAGACCTTATCTGGCTTGGAGAGCTGCCAGGCCGATATCTTCAAAACTTGGCAAGGATTCTCGGAGAGTCACAAACCAATTAGGTGAACTAATTGTCTCCTGCAAACTCCCCTCCCCTTTCGCTCCTCTTTTATTCCTTCATCGTCCACCTGTGGCCTTACTCCCAAGTCGACCCTTGTTCTTTAGCTGTTCCCTTCATCTGGCAACTCTGCGCATGCGCACACTGGGAACAGACTCCAGCTGTTCCTCTGCCTCACTGATGTCTGACTCCGAAGGCAGCTGATAACTGGCATTCGGCCCTGGCCCTCTCTCTGCCTCAGATGCAGAGCCCTCATCAGAGCCTTCCCCAGACTCCAGGACTGGCCCATGTTGCTCCCCAACCTCCTCACTGTCCAAATCTGCTGCCGGATCTGCTGGCGGCTGGCGGGCCACAACATCAGCAGAGCCTGGTTGACATTGGAGGAAATGGAAGGACAGCAAGCCCTTGAGATATAAGAGAATCCGCATGGCGTCTATTCAAAGGATTTGACTGAACTGTTGTGCATAATCTAAACCGCTGAAAGTTGGTGTTGCAATTTAGCCCTCTGGATTCTCATGGCCGGTGGCATCCTAAATCAATAAGAGCATTTATTTTTCAGAACAGCGTATTTTAGGAAGAAGCTGCAACTTTCCCAAAGAGTTAGACATTGTTATATTTTTAGAAACTGGCACCCAGGGGATGGGATTAGGAGTGATTAACTAAATAGGCATTTTAAGAGTTCAGGCATCATTATTATGTAGCAAGAAATTGACAGTGTCTCGGGATTTACTGTAAAATTTGATGCATTTCACCCCCCCGTGATTTTGTTTTTATAAGCCTGCATCCACCAGTTTTGGCTTTGTACTTCGTTATGACAGCAGCGGACCTTAAAAACAGATCTCTGTTTATCCTATCTATCTAGTAAATGGCCCATTTCTTGCATGCTGCACTGTAGTTTAATAACAAGCAAGCTGGATTTTTTTATTGATGTTTTTTTAACAAAGCCACATTTGGAGTGCTAGAAGAGAGGATTTTCTTTGTATTGCACCCAGTGGCAAAGAAAAAAAAGCATAATTCTTTTTTTTTTTCCCCTAAAAAAGAAGAAGAAGAAGAAAGATAAAGAAAAAATAGAGATACAGTACCTTTGGAATAGGGAACTGGCATTCACCTGAGCAATAGTAAGCATCAAAAGCTTTAGGAGAAATGATCCATTCGCTCCAGCCTATATCCGCGAAATCTACTTTGAGATAGCGCCTTGAGCAAGACCTCGGTTCATTCCACTGCTTCCGCCTCGCCTTTTTCAGGGTCTGCTCGTCAAACTGAAGCGTCTGGCTCTTCTGATGGCTGTGTTTTCTGGGCTTCTTCTTGCCCTTTGACCTTTCTGCCAGCCGCGGCTGCAGGGTTTTGTAGTGCTTCCTCTCCTCCCATCTTTCGTCCTCGCTGTACTGATATTCGGCTCCCGGGAGCTCGTTGTTCTGCAAAGGCAGTAGAAAGCTGGTGGAACGTTTGGGCCGCTGTCCACTGAGGTCGTTGATTGACCGGCTATCCAATTTGGGGAAAGTCCCAGGCGGTGGATTCCAATGACCTTGCAAGCTAGAAACCACACTCTCCGGTTCTGAAATGGCGGAGTCGTTGGCGTAGACCAGGATGTATGGCTCATAGCTGAGATGCAGGCTCTTCCACGGAGGTTGGCCAAGGGAGGCCATCTGGACCCCGATCATAAGATGGTTGTGCTCCTTTGCTCGCCTCAAGTCCTGAGTAATGTTTTTGCATTGCCACAAATGGTCAACCTGCAAAGCAGTAGAGATGTTGACCAAGTAACGTCCCAGGGTTCGTGACTGGTTTGCTGGTGATAAGGAGCTCAACAGCAAAAGCTTGATCTGCAGGTCCGATTTTCTGAGGCCCAGAGGAGAACAGCTGTTGGGTTGAGGGCAGTTGGTGCTGCCGTTTTGGAGATCTCCGACGTAGTAATGCAGCAGCGCCGACAAGATATTTTCAGACTTCGTGAGGGAGGTGAGATTAAAAACATACACCTCTTTGTTGCCAAGGATCCCTAGAAAAACAAAAAGCAAAAAAAAAAAAAAAAATCACGTCAGGGGAGTCCCCAAAAGCCCTTCCCTGCCTTTCCTATTTCTCTCGTGCGTTTATTAAATCGGCTCACGCAGGGATGGAATTCAAATTTTTTTACTACTGGTTCTGTGGGTGTGGTTTGGTGGGCGTGGCTTGGCTTGGCTTGGCGGGTGTGGCTTGGCGGGCATGACAGAGGAAGGATACTGCAAAATCCCCATTCCCTCCGGTAACCGGTAACCTTTTTGCCATCGCGTGCCAAAAGCAGGGGAGGGGGAGCGCAGGGCATTGAATTATGGGTGTGGGCATGCATGCGCGAGACCCCCCCACGAGACCCCCACTTTTGACATGCGACGGCAAAAAGTTTAGCCACTACTGACATAGAAGTTCTAGCTGGTGTTAAGGGAGTAACTGACCCCAAATGAAACAGTCTTATTCTCGAGCAGGAGTGGGCAATTAATTTCCCCAAGGAGCCACATGAGAAACTTAAGGACTGTTGTTGAGGGCTGCTGTTGTCCCGTACCTGCAACTGTGCCCCACCTCTGCTGCCACCAATGTCCTGCTCCCCGCTGCCAACACTACCAAGGGCCAGACTAGGAAGGCCCCTGGCCAGATGTGATCCGCAGGCCGTAAAATGCCTAGTTCTGTTCTTAGAAGCACTATACTAGCTGCTCCCAGGTTCAAAGTATTTTTTTAATGATACATGAAGTCTTATATATAATTCAGGACCTGGTATCAAGCGAAGTCTTACTCCTTTTGGCACACACCCATCAACTAATATTTCACGGAGAAGGAAATGGATGAGGTTCGCTGTGGAATGAGCTCTCCTGGCTATAAATTCAACCTGTGTTCCTCCTGGCTTGTTCATTTGATCAAAAAGGGAATGTAACGTGTTAGTTGAGGGAGGAAGTGATGCCACCTTGAGGAATGGGGTGATGCCGCCAGCCTTGAAGAGAATGTCGGCTCACCCCCTCCTCAATAACCCATTACTCAACTCAGCCACTGTCAGGCGGGAAGGATTAGCGTAAGGTATAAGTTTCAGTTCAGAAGATTTATTGCTCAAGCCTATACACAATAATATACTGAACTAAAGTTCAATATTAAATTGGCACCAGACAAAGGTCAATGGACTTCAAGAGGGGTTGGATTTGGACCATTTAATTTAATTTAATTTAATTTAATTTAATTAATTCAGTTTATATACTGCCCCTCTCTGAAGACTCAGGGCGGCTCACAATACAATATTTGTTGTTGTCAGTTGTGAAGTTGTTTCCGACCCATCGCGACCCCATGGACAACATTCCTCCAGGCCTTCCTATCCTCTAACATCCCTCTGGAGTCCATTTAAGCTCACTTGGACCATTTATGGGAACTTAATGATTCTAGGCTGATGACTTGCTTAATGCCATCCCCCTAACTCTGCCTGCACTTCTCCTACCGCCGTCTTACAAATTCCAAATCTTCTCTTTTTAAGAAATGTTGCTACAATTGTTAAGTCCTAGATAATCTAGATTCCTTACAGTTCAGCTTCAAGCTTTGGCATGTAATGAAAATCTCATTGGCTGTTCTTATTTAGAATTTGAATAGGGACCTGGATAAGACTAGTACACTTATGGTCTTGTCACATTTTTTCAGCAACATTCAATACTAGTACCATTTAATACCATTAAATGATGATAACCATAATTACTATCATTATTAAGCTATCCTTTGGGCCCACCAATGAAAGTTTCAGCTCTTTCCCCAAAACTCTGCTCCTATTTCCACCCTTTGTTTTATTCATCCAATTGTCTAAATTTAGATGAGTTTTTTTGTCTGGGAACTAATTGGAATATAAAAATGGAATACAGGGATTAAATTTAGTAGGAAATGCAAATGTAAGAAACGGATAGCAAGCTTGGGATTGTGAATGAGAAACTTTTTATTTATGAAAACACTTAATATTACCAACAAGTTTTCATCTGTGACTCTCCTTGTGAAAATAAGCAGCTCCTGGCTTTAGAAATAGGGAAAGTGAGGACACCTACAGACAGACAATGAAATGACAAGGATGGACACAAATCTTTAATTCTCTACCTCAACTCTATTCTCTGCTAGCTCAGCTTGCACATTCAGAATACTAGATTCAGGGGTGAAATGCTACTGTTAGCTCCAGTTCGGGCGAATCGGTAGTAAAAAAAAAGCTACCGGTTGGTCCGAACTGGTATTTCCAATGATCAGCTGTGCCACGTGATTTATATTTGCTAGAAAGCAGGAATGCTTTCTAGCGAAAGCTCGCTGTTCTACTTACCTTCAAAAGGCTCCTTTTTCCACGTGAAGCATGTGTTTGGTGCGCACCAAATCTGTGCTCAAGCAGGAGATCCTATACCCGTGATGGCGAACCTATGGCACGCATGCCCAAAGTGGCACACACAGCCATGTCGCCCGGCATGTGCGGCCTTGCCTGTTTGAATTCTGAGTTTCTGGCGCGCATGTGCATGCGATGATCAACTGTCATTCGTGCATGCGGCAGTGCCAAAAACCAGTGTGCGCATTCGCGCCGGCCAGCTGATTGTCGGGTGCACATGTGCGCCAGAACCCGGAAGTTCAGCTTTTCCAGAGCGTGATCCCTTTGCGTGCGCGGCAGTGCTGAAAACCGGCCTGTGCATGCGCACCAGCCAGCTGATCATCAGGGGCACATGAAGAACCCAGAAGTTTGTTTTTTCCCAGAGCGTGGCCTTGATGAGCGTGTGTGCGGCATTTCCACGTGACTTTTTTGGCACTCGGTGCTGAAAAGGTTCCCCATCACTGTCCTATACCATTCCAAATAAATGACTATCCAATCTCTTCTTTAAAAAACAACAACAACTCCAGTGATGGAGCACCCACAACTTCTGGAGATAAGCCATTCCACAGATTAATTGTTCTCACTGACAAGAAATTTCTCTTTAATTCTAAATTTGATCTTCCTTCAAATAAGCTTCCATCCATTTTGTCCTGGTGCTTTGTAAAATAGATTGAAACCGCCTCCCCCCCTTCTCTGTGACAGCCCCTCAAATATTGGAAGGCTGTTATGTCACTCCTAGTCAGTGGTGGGATTCAAATAATTTAACAACCGGTTCTCTGCCCTAATGATTTCTTCCAACAATCAGTTCACCAAACTGTTCAGAAAGTTAATAACCGGTTCTCCCGAAGTGGTGTGAATTGGCTGAATCCCACCACTCTCCTAGTCCTTCTCTTTGTTAGACAGAAGAGTTCCCACAACCATTCATCATATGTTTTAGCCTCCAGCCCCTAATCGTCTTTGTTGTTCTTCCCTGCACCTTTTCTAGAGTCTCAATATTTTTTTTTTTGTATCATAGTGACCAAAACTGGATATATTTACCAAAACAGTATAAAGTGGCACTAACACTTCCTGTAATATTTCAGTGCAGCGAGCATCATACAAACACTCTCTTTTCTACTTACAAGTCTTGACCTCTTGATTTCCTGGAAACCATCCAACGCTATCTTGAATTTAAGCCCAGGGATATTTACATTGCCAATTCTGTTTACCACAAATTGCAAACAAAAACAGACCATGACATACAAATGAGATGAAGGCTGCAGCTGTTTTGAAGCTGCAAGAGTGTTTAAAATGTACTGATCTTTAACAATAGATGTCACTGTTTTCCTGGGTTTTAAGCTAGCAATGTTTTGGAAATTCTGTCAACCTGGTGGATTAGATGTACTGACAATTGCTCTCATAAACACAGAAACTTTCCCCTTTATTTATACTGCAGGAGTTAAATCTATGGTAGCCAAAAATCAGGAGTCTGATAGCGCTTCTTTTGATTAACAAATTTTATTAGAAGGCATCAGCTATTGTACGCCTTGCGCACGGTCACTCATGCCCTTGTCACCTCCCGGCTGGACTATTGTAATGCTCTCTACATGGGGCTCCCCTTGAAGAGCACTCGGAGGCTCCAACTGGTCCAGAATGCGGCCGCGCGGGTGGTTATGGGCGCAACTCGTTGTGCCCATGTGACACCCCTCCTGCGCGAGCTGCACTGGCTCCCAGTGGTCTTCCGGGTGCGATTCAAGGTGCTGGTTACCACCTTTAAAGCGCTCCATGGCATAGGACCCGGGTACCTTCGAGACCGACTTCTGCCACCAATAGCCTCCCACCGGCCAGTCCGCTCCCACAGAGAGGGTCTCCTCAGGGTGCCATCGGCCAAGTTATGTCGGCTGGTGACACCCAGGGGGAGGGCCTTCTCTGTGGGAGCCCCAGCCCTGTAGAACGAACTGCCCCCAGAAATACGTAAGATCCCTGACCTCCGGGTATTTCGCTGTGCACTGAAGACCCTGTTGTTCCGCCAGGCCGGGCTATTGACATGATAATTTTAAATTGGGGTATTTTAAATTTCTGGGGTTTTAAATGGAGCCAAATTTATTTAATAATTTTAAATTTTAAATTGATGTTTGTCTTGTGTTTTTAAATAGGCTGTACACCGCCCTGAGTCCTTCGGGAGAAGGGCGGTATAGAAATAAAATTATTATTATTATTATTATTATTATTATTATTATTATTATTATTATTATTATTATTATTGTGAGCTGCAGTGAGGCTTTTTAATAAAATTTGTCAGTTAGCAAAGGTGTTAACAAAGCTGACTTTAATTTCATTCTTTATAAGCAGCAGCGTTAAAATTGTATAACTTACTACAAGCACATCACTTCTTTAAATCCATCACTTTCCCTGCCTTTTTTTCACGTACGATAGTAAACATTTCTTGTTTATATGGCTGTTTTTCCTCAGTTGAGATGGAGATGTGCCAAGGTGATGACCGGAATAATGGATGGATATGGGCAGACTTTCATAGAATTGCTAACATTCTTTGCCCACTACATAGCTGAATAATCTCTCACATGTCAGGCACATGGCACATATGTGTACTCTCATGGAACATAACATCAGTAAAACCAATAATGAAAAAGAAAGATTTTTCAAGTTGAACCCTAAGCTAG